TGTCTATCGTGTCTATAGCTTTTTAAGCTCATTTAACGCAATTTTTATTGAGGTTTACACATTATTGATGGTAATCAAAATTTCTTTTTATTACAGGCAATGATTCTTTCTAAAAATTCAAGGACATTTTCATGAAATTCAAGAACTTTTCAAGCACAAAATCAACATTTACTAAATTCAAGTACTTTTCAAGGACTCCCCTCAAATTCAAGGACTTTTCAAGGACTGTGCGAACCATGGAGAGTGAGGCGGGTACGTGGGCGAGTCCCTACAGCCTGGGATTCACACGTGAGGGGGGCTGGCACTGCTATCTCCCGGGGTACAGCCAGCTAGCGACTTTGCATGCAAGTGGCAAGTCGCCGCGCAAAAATCGGACGGCGCAGCGAAGACGGGGGAGGGGGGGAAGCGCGGAGATGAGAAGAACAAGTGGCTCTCTGTTCTCGCTCACCGCCTGTGAAATCACCCCTGTCTCTAGTCCCCAGAGCGATGCCAGCGCCATCTACACAGTGGAATATGCTGCTCGACGGGAGAAGGAGAGCTGTGCGGCCCGGACTTGTGGTTCCACCTAGTGGTCAGAAAGAGTGTATATCTTGGCAGCGGGACGTACGTACGTACGCAGAGCAGACAGGGAAAACGATTGATGTGTGTGATATGGAGTAATACGTTAAAATATAAGGCGCCTACCCAGCACTGCACCAGCCTTAGCAGCTGTCGCAAAATTTGCATATATTGGCATCTAAAATTTCAATGCTATTAGCAAAGAATGTTAGCGATTATTTAGTTTTCGTTATAGTAACGATTGTCAGGCTCTTATCATCACAGCCTTCCACAAAACAGGATTTAGTCATAGCTCTATCAGCGTAGTATCCCTTATTCCTTATTATATATCTCTCTCGTATGTATCTCTTGCGCTATGAAGTCGAGGGTGGGGCAAACGAGGCGTGGTATTGAGGTATGATATAGAGAGAGGCAAGCAGCTGTCTGCATGCGTACGTACGTACTCAGGCCACAGGGCACGAAAACGACGAAATGCCATCGCGAACTGCATCGTGGCTCCATCTAGCGTCACGTAAGCATAACGATCGCATTCAACCCAGCTAGGAACACTCACCGCTATATGCGCTGGCGATGACGCGCGCGCCCGCGTCGCAAGATCCCACGACTCCCACTACTTCCGCCTGGGGGCAGCACCGTTGCGCGAGCGGGACGAGGAGCCGGTGTGGATGCTGCGTGCGCTGCTTCGCGTTGTCATGGTGGACATCCTCCCCGTTCCTGCGACAGTACAGAAGCCATGTTAGTTAGCATACATCTCTCCCTGCGAGCCGTCCGTCACAAGCCATGCCAAGTATTAAGAAAAGGGTAAAATTGTACTCAGTACATAGATCAGTTCTTATAATATAACAGACGCCTCGATGACAGCGGCATCTTGTTTGTCAACGACGTCCTAACGAAAGAAAACGTTGAATGAAACGACGTTAATAGGAGGTGTTGGTGTATAGCTATATATAGTAAGCAATCAAATTAATATAAATAATTAAATATTATTAAAGATTATGAATGTAGGTTAATGGCTTGGACCGCGGCCAAACAGGTGGTCTGTGTGTGTACTCACGTGCGGTGTCGTGTTGCGGAGCGTGAATTCTATCCAGGGTCTCCTGCAGGGCCTCCACGTCACGCCGGGTGAACTCCGCTTGGCTGGCCTTCACCAGGGGGCGCCGCTTCCTGACGCGCTCGCGGAGACACGTCTCGGGCACGGTTCCCGTCGTGAGCCCGACGGGAAAGTGCTGGCTGGCGAGACGCAGTCCTGCGATAGGGAGAGAGAGAGTGAGAGGGGTGAGAGTGAGAGGGAGATAGAGAGAATGGGGAGGGAGAGAGTGAGAGGGGTGAGAGCGAGAGGGAGATAGAGAGAATGGGGAGGGAGAGAGTGAGAGGGAGAGAGTGAGAGGGGTGAGAGCGAGAGGGAGATAGAGAGAATGGGGAGGGAGAGAGTGAGAGGGGTGAGAGCGAGAGGGAGATAGAGAGAATGGGGAGGGAGAAAGTGAGAGGGGTGAGAGCGAGAGGGGTGAGAGTGAGAGGGAGATAGAGAGAATGGGGAGGGAGAGAGTGAGAGGGGTGAGAGTGAGAGGGAGATAGAGAGAATGGGGAGGGAGAA